GTTATTCCAATCTTACTGCCACACAAATGAAGAGCCATAAGTATGTCTTTGGAAGAGTATGGAATCCAAATGCCCCTACAAAGGTGTGTGGTTTCAATTGGCAACTTCTTTTAAATAGAGTGCCCACTAAAACTAATTTATTCAAGAGAGGCATTATCAAGGATCCTGCAGAAGTGATGTGCTGCCTTTGCCAGGAACATGTGGAAGATTGTGATCATCTATTCATTACTTGTAAAGTCACTGTTGAAATCTGGAATAGATGCTTCAATTGGTGGGGTGTTCAAACTGTGTTGGCTAGTAATGTTTGGGATGTCTTTAACAACCATGAGGGTATTGCAGTGTCCAAACAGATGAGGATTGGTTGGGAGATGGTGTGGTTAGCTCTGGTATGGACTATATGGCTCACTCGAAATGAGATTTTGTTCAACAATAAAATGGTGGATACAAACAAGATATTTGATTATGTCCGAGTAAGGTCCTTTCTCTGGTTGACAAATAGAGGAAAGGTTTTTAGGTATGGTTTCTCAGATTGGCTCCACAATCCCCATCTATGTAATGTTAGTGCTTAAGTGCAAAAGAGGACAAAAACTAGCTATGGGTGTTGTGTCGACACGTTGTTTTGGTGTCGACACCATACGGTCAGCATCCAAAATCTCCGACACGGACGTGGTGTCGACACCAATATGGTAAGCTTTCAGAATCTCCGACACGGACGTGGTGTTGACACATAAATTTGGTGTCGACACCAAAAGGGCTATCTCACTGTTGTAAATTTATGCTTTTCAAGTTGAGATGATTATGGGTTTGGGTACCCCTTGTACTCCGTTTTTCAATAAATATTATTTTTGCTGTTCAAAAAAATTATTTGAAGCGTAAAGAGCCACAGCGCTTCGTACTTTCATACAACTAACTTGCACGTTCTGTTGAATTGTTGAATGACTTTGATTATTTCACCAATTTTCTAGCTAGGTTTCTTACCAGCGTTCAAATGCACATGTACTATCATTACTTCCATTTATTAAACTTTTGGTTAATTTAATTTGAAGTTGCCAAATTCTGAGCAACATGTAAAACAAGCAAATGTAGAATTTTTTTTTTTATAAACTAAAATTTATTCATAATATCAAGCATACGGCATCTACATACATAAGAAAGACCTTATCTCATAGATGAGGTCTGACAACCATACTTAATACAATATTAAACACAAATGGAGACAAGAGTAGATTAGACCAATATCATATCAATATGGAAGAAAGGTGGTGAAATATATCACAAGACAACCTATAAAAGAGCTACTACTATTGATCACATGCTCTTTCAAAACCTCCTTTCTTACTGATCTTCCACTATGGCAAGCCAGCCAACTAGCTAGCTAGTTCTAAAATACTAGAAAAAACTCAAACCCCATAATTTGCTTATTGACTATTATACTATAAAGCCACAAACAGCTAGCAATGACTCTAAGATGATGATGATGACATGAACATAATGGGAAGACTTTCAGCCAATCAGTGGGCAGTGACCTCCTCCTCGGCAGCTGGGACCAGATGCTCCCGTAGTACTCTTCATCCTGTTGAATTCAGGAGAAAGAGGGTGTTTAATAGGCCTGGAGGCCCCGATCCTGACCCCGGTTGAATGAAAAAGGATATGGAAAACGATAGTGATAAAAATACATTTCATGGCAAAAGAGATGAAGCGTGAAAGATGCTTCATTGGCTTCTTTGGTTGATTACAATAGGAGGTTGCTATGGTTTTCTTGGGAAGCCGCGAGGCTCAAGTTTTTCCTAATGGAGGATGTTACCTCCACTGGGGGTATAAATAGACTTAGAGAAGGAACATTTTACTTTTTATTATAGATTTTAATAAAAAATAAATAAACGGCAAACCGTTTATGCTCAGTCAGTTACAAATCTATTACTTAAAAATAACTTTGTGTCAGTTACCCATGCCTTCTTGTTTTTAAAAATGGATTTGTGCGTTTCTTTCTTAAAGAGCAAAATCAAACGTTACCTAGGGCTCAGTCAGTTACAAATCTCTTACTTAAAAAAAAACAAAAAGTGTGGTAACTTTGTGTCAGTTACCCAAGCCTTCTTGTTTTTAAAAATGGATTTGTGCGTTTCTTTCATAAAGAGCAAAATCAAACGTTACCTAGGTACATGAATCGAGAGGAAATTTTTTCAATTTAACAAGAGATTTTGGTTTCAAACCTTTGAAATGCGTTCAAGCCTTTTAAATGCAGTTTCATTAAAACTTGTGAGTGAGAGTTTTATTGCCCGTTGAGTTTTACTTGACTCGAATTCGGATTAATTAGTGGTCTAAAATAGACTTTCAGATACAAAGTGATCTATATAAAAAAAAAAAAATCAAATCAAATTACTCGTGTGTTCCAATCAAATTAATGCTTGTAAAAAGCACTTGGGCCTTCGGGCTTAATAGCATCAAGTTACGTATAAGTGTATTCTCTCATCTCAGGGCAACAGTTTGAATCCAATCCCTTGTCAACTTGTTCAAATAATAATAATAATAATGCCTGTCAAAAACAAAGAGGAAAATATTTATATAATATCCCATTTTGGGCCTACAATCCTCAAAATAAAATGAAGTATGT